ATTTCTCTTACTATCCACACCATAATAAAACAGCTTGAATCCTGCTCCTATACTACGAGCCTTGCTACCCTTCCACCTGGTCTCCTGTACACACAGTATATCCACCTTCCTTCTCTCCATCATATCAGCCAGCTCTCTACCTTTCCCTGTCATAGTACCAACATTCAGAGTTCCTATTCTCAGTCCTACACTCTTACCTGTTCTCTTCTGTCTACGCACTCTCCTCCCTCCTCTACTTCTTCGACCAACAGTAGCCCAATTTCCACCGGCGCCCTGTAGGTCAACGGCGCAGATGGCAGTCGTTGTTAACCCGGGCCTCGACCGATCCGGTATGAATTTCAGAGTACTAACGATTCGCATGATTAAATTGGGCAATGTTTTACGCCAGATGCCCTTCCTGACGCAACCCTCTCTATTTATCCGGGCTTGGGACCGGCACAGAAGTCGCTGGACTGTGACCCCCATGGCTAGATTTAATGACATCGCATTCTAAATACATTAATATGGAGTTGTTCCCCCCCATTACAGCTATAACAGCTTCCACTCTTCTGGGCAGACTTTCCACAGGATTTTGGAGTGTTTTTGTGGGAATTTTTGTCCATTCATCCAGTGGAGCGTTTGTGAGGTCAGGCACTGATGTTGGACGAGAAGGCCTGGCTCGCAATCTCCATTGAAGTTCATCCCAAAGGTGGGGTTGAGATTAGCGCTCTGTGTGGACCAGGTAAATTTGTTTCCACACCAGACTCATCCAACCATGTCTTTATGGATGTTGCTTTGTGCACTGGGGCACAGTCATGCTGGAATAGAAAAGGGCCTTCCCCGAACTGTTTGGGGCTGGAAGCATAGCATTGTCCAAAATGTCTTGGTAAGCTGAAGCATTAACATTTCCCTTCACTGGAAGTAAGGGGCGTAGCCGCATACCATTTATCCCTCCTCCACCAAACTTTACAGTTGGCCCAATGAAGTCAGGCAGGTAACGTTCTCCTGGCATCCGCCAAACCCAGACTTGCCCATCAGACTGCCAAACAGAGAAGCGTGATTGGTCAACACTGCTCCAGAGTCCAGTGGCAGCATGCTTTACACCACTCCATCCGACGCTTGGCGTTGTACTTGGTGATGTCAAGCTTGCACGCAGCTGCTCGGCCATGGATATACATTCCCTGAAACTCCCACCGCACAGTTTTTGTGCTGATATGAACGCCAGTGGAGGTATGGAACACTTCAGCTATGGAATCAGCAGAGCGTTGGCGACTTTTACACACTGTGCGCCTCAGCGCTCTGTGACCCCGCTCTGTGACTTTACGTGGTCTTCCGCTTCGTGCCTGAGTTGCTGCTGTTCCTACACGTTTCCGCTTTCCAATAATAGCACTTACAGTTGTCCGTAGAATATCTAGCAGGGATGAAATTTCACAAACTGACGTATTGCAAAGGTGGCATCCTATCACAGTACCACACTGAGCTCTTCAGAACGACCCATTTTTTTTCACAAATGTTTGTAAATGCACACTGCATGGCTAGGTGCTTGATTTTATACACCTGTGGCAATGGGTCTGAATGAAACACCTAAATTCAATAAGTAAGAGGTGTGTCCCAATACTTTTGTCCATATAGTGTATATCCACTACACACTTTTTCCTTTCGTACTTAACTCCTCTGTGTGTGTGTGTGTGTGTGTGTGTGTGTGTGTGTGTGTGTGTGTGTGTGTGTTTGTTTCCAGGTACATGGTGAAACACAAGTCACACTTGCGCTTCTGAATCCGCTTTATCATCATCTACAAAATCAGCGTGTGGATCCGCCTTGATACAGCCAGCAGCACTTTTAGTCAGGCATTCAACAACATCTAGGCTTCATAATGTGTGTGAGAGAGAGGGTGTGTGTGTGTGTGTGTGTGTGTGTGTGTTTGGGAGACAGAGATAAAGAGTGAGGCTTATCCAGTTTGTTTTCCATGCAGCTGTGTGTGAAAAAGAAAGATCTCGGAGAGGAAATGAGATCATTTATAAGTGTCTTCTTTTTCCATTACTGTTCATTTCTTTTGGGGATTTCTTCTTCTTCTTTTCTTTTTTTTTTTTTTTTTTATTAAGTATTCTGATGTAAAAATGATAAAAGTGGAGACAGTCCCTTATGGAGGTTAATAAAACAACTGCCATTTGTAAAAGTGCTCACTGTAGACTGAGTTTCTTTTCTTCAAGATTTACAGCTCACATGCAGTTAAAAGCTTTATCACGAGGGGGCGCTGTAACACAACAAGCATTAATTACACTTCACCTGGACCTTATTTATATATAAATAAAAAAATAAATAAATAAGGAATGATATTAACTGGCACCACCTGACAACAACTGCACAACCCAAAAATAGCTCAAAAAAAAAAACTGCACAAAAAATACAAACCTAACACAACCCCAGTTCAACAACAGTGCTACAACTCAACAATAACAACAAAAGTCCCCTAACACAACATCTCACATTTATACCTCAGTGCCGTTGAATTCTGGATTGTGATTGGCCAGAAGTTGTTGATTAATCATCTATAACAGCAGCTCGGACAGTAGAGCAGGTTTATATTAATGCGCTCGTTCTAATGTGTTATCGTTTCCATAGCAACAGCTCATTCACAGGGACGTGCACAGCGGGAGCGCCACATAAACAGATTAAAAAATATTTGATTATTAAACAAAGGAAAAACTTGTAATCATTGATATGGTGACATTTTCTGTAAGGAGATGTTTAACATTTATGAAATGTCAGTGTAACAGTGTAACTTTGTAAAAGTCAGAAGTAAAGCTATGATTAACACACCTGGCGTCACAACAATATTATTCTAAATCATTATAATACATTGTATAATGTCTTTGCTCTCGTTTTGACAGTGATATCTGCTTCTGAGACAAAATCTGATTCTGAATCAAAGACGATCGGCAGAGCATCTTGCTATTAAATGAATTTTCAGTGCTTCACATCTCGATTTGGTCCCAATTTGCTGTTATCCTCAACTCGTCTGCGAAGTCTTTCCACTACATTTTGGAGCGTGGCTGTGGGGATTTGCCCATTGAGCCACAAGAGCATTAGTGAGGGCAGGTACTTGAAGCTTGGGGGGCAGTCACCATTCCAGTTCATCCCAAAGGTGTTCAGTGGGGTTGAGGTCAGGGCTCTGTGCAGGACACTCGAGTTCTTCCACTCCAACCTTGGCAAAACATGTCTCCATGTGATAATGACAACGTGCACAGGGGCATTGTCATGCTGGAACAGGTTTGTGCCCTTTAGTTCCAGTGAAGGGAAATTGTAATGTTATAGCCTACAAAGACATTCTGTACAACTGTGTTTTTCCAAATTTGTGGCACCAGTTTGGGGAAGAATCACATATGGGTGTGATGGTCAGGTGTCCGCAAACCTTTGGCTATATAGTGTATTTGAACTATGAACCAAGTGCATTGTTTGCTCTTGTAGGCATCATAAGACCTGGGCATGGTCCACAACATAACTGTCCTTAGTGCTAACGTGTCTGCATGGCTGAGTGCCCTAAGGTGCTGTGTTCATATCACAGTCTTTCCTGCAGGTGTGGGTTCAAATTCCACTTCTGATAATTGGCAATTCATTGTGATGGTGTTTTGAGCCCATTCTGAACTTTGTTGTTGCATGTTAATATATTGAAAGAAATCTGTTGCAATCTCCCTGCATAGTTATGCTTACAGGTAGGTTTGAGCTTTTGTTTGTCAGATGATGGGTGAAAACTGGTCACTGCAGTCAATTCTTGGGTTTGTTTTACGGCACTGGCTTGATTTTACAGCACTGCCTATAGATGGTTGCACAGTGAACGAACTACACTGCCGCCTTGTGGTGTTGATGTAAAACTTGAGCATGATCCCTAACTGAAACCTATAAATTCTGAAACAAAGGGCATTAAAGCACGTTCAGTCATTGGCCTACAGAGGAAGCTCTAGATTCTGTAGTCGTGGCCGAGTGGTTAAGGCGATGGACTTGAAATCCATTGGGGTCCCCCCGCGCAGGTTCAAATCCTGCCGACTACGTCCCAAATTTAGTTTGTCGAAGGGCTGCTGAAACACTGGCTTTATTTTACAGCACTGCCCATAGATGGTTGCACAGTGAACCAACTACACTTCCTTGTTGTGATGTTAACATAAAACCTGACCATGGTCCCAAACTGAAGCCCATTGACGCAGATTCAAATATTGAAAAAAATCCACTGAGGTTTCCCAGCACAGGGGTTGAATGCTGAAGAGTACGTCTGAGCTTCTGTTTGCTAGATGTTTGTTCATTTTACAGCATTGGCTTGATTTTACAGTACTGCCCGTAGGTTGTTGCACAACGAACCAACTACACAGCCTTGCTGTATTGTTGATGTAACATATACAATCATAGTTGGCTGAGTGGTTAAGGTGATGGACTTGCAACCTTAAAGTCTCCCTGTGCAGGTTCAAATCCTGCCTACTATGGCTGAGTTTTGTTTTATCAAAGGGCAGCTAAAACCTGGTTTGTGGTGGCTGTTTTAACAAACAATGGAGCAATTCAAAATCCAGGCATGTGTCCTTAACAAAAACTGCTGCTCTCCTGGTGAGATTGGGTCAAAGCCTGTTTGTGAAACACTGCAGGGGTTGCTCTTAACACATTGCCCATAGGTATTTGAACTATGAACCAAGTGCATTGCTTGCGTTTGCGGGCAACATAAGATCTCGGCATGGTCCACAATGCAGCTGACCTCAATGTTAACGGCTCAGAATGGCTGAGTAATTCTAGGGTTGGTTTTACATGCACTAGATTGATTTTACACCACTGCCCATAGATAGTTGCACAACCAAAGACGATCAGACGAACAGAGCATCTCGTTGTTACGTGAATTTTTAGTGCTTCGCATCTCTTGAAATGTGAGTCCTCATTTCCTTTCCTCGCTTCTTGTCATTATGTCACCCCCTGAGTACATGTTGAATAAGAAGCCATTCAGCCTCACTGTGTTTAAAATGATTTCCGTGTGTGAACGAGTTGAAGATTGTGGATTGCTGTGTGGAACATAAGCAATGCTAAGAACAACTCAACAAGAAGAAATCATTATTGTTGGTAATTGAATAAAAAAAATACATATTTATGTCAATCTGTCCATGGCAGTATAACTCTAAAATTTTAAACGGTGCATTATATTTGTCAAAAAAAAAAAAAAAGGCAAGATTTGATCTCCAACGGTTAAACAGATGGAGTTAAATCAGATTTTAATTATTTTATTATTCCTTGAACCCACCCCGCTTTCCACCAATGCACACAAAGCTCCGCCTCAGCTCAGCTTAAGTGTAACGTGTAGACTCAGGACAACGGAGTTGGGGATCCAAACGCAAGGCTTTATTACAATCGTGGTCAAAACAGGCAGGGTCGAGCACCAGCAAACAGTATAATCTGAGGTAAAGGCAAAAGAGTAATCCAAAACAC